TGTATTACTGGGTATTTATCCCCCAAAATAAAAACACTAAGTCGAAGGGATACACACACCCTGATGTTTATAGCAGCATTATCTACAATAGCCAAATTAGGGAAACAGCCCAATTGTCCAACAACTGATGAATGGATAAAGAACATGTGGTACACATACACACAATAGAATATTACTCAGCCATAAAAAGAATGAAATCTTGACATTTGCAACAACATGGATGGAACTAGAGAGTATTATACATAAGTTAGTCATAGAAAGACAAATACCAGTTGATCTCACTCATATGTGGAATTTAAGAAACAAAACAAATGAGCAAAGGGGGAAAAAAAGAGACGGAAACCAAGAAACAGACTTTTAACTATAGAGAACTGATGGTTGCCAGGTGGGTGGAGGTAATGGGTTGGGTAGGTTAGGGAAATTGGGAAGTGCACTTGTTGTGATGAGCACCAGGTGTTGTACGGAGGTGCTGAATCACTATTTTGTGTAACTGAAACTGATATCGCACTGTATGTAAACTAACTGGAATTCAAATAAAAACTTAAAAAATAAAACTGGGCAGAGGAATTGAACAGACTTTTTTCCAAAGAAGACATACAAATGGCCAACGGGTACATGAAAAGGTGCTCAACATCACTAATCATCAAGGAAATGCAAACTTCTAGCTCACTAATCATCAGGGAAATGAAATCCATGAGATATATCACCTGACACCTGTTAGCATGGCCATTATCAGAAAGAGATAGAGGCGCCTGGGTGGCTCAGTCGGTTAAGCGTCTGCCTTCACCTCAGGTCCTGATCCTGGAGTCCTGGAATTGAGCCCCGCATAGGGCTCCCTGCTTCATGGGGAGTCTGCTTCTCCCTTTCCCTCTGCCCCTCCCCACAGCTTGTGCTCTCTCAAATAAATAAATAAAATCTTAAAAAAAAAAAAAGACAAGAAATAAATGTTGGTGAGGATACAGAGTGAAGGTAACCCTTGTGCACTACTGGTTGATGGAAATGTAATTGATACAGCCACTATAGAAAACACTATGGAGAGTCTTCAAAAACTTAAAAACAGAACTACCATACGAGCCAGCAATTACACTTCTGGGTATATATTCAAAGGAAATGAAAACAGAATACTGAAGAGAGAGCTACACTCCCATGTCATTATTCATAATAGCCAAGATATGGAAACAACCTAAGTGTCCATCAATATATGAAGGGATAAAGAAGTGATATTTATACATATCTATATCTATATAATATTATCCATTCATATATACATGTATATCATTATATAATATATATTATCCATTCATATATATATACATATATATATATATAATATTATTCAGCCATTAGAAAGAAGGAAATCCTGTCATTTGAAACACACATAGATGGACCTTAAGGGCATTATGCTAAATGAAAAAAGTCAGACAGAGAAAGACAAAAACTGTATGATACATATGTGGAATCTAAAACAGCCAAACTCATGGAAACAGAGAGTAGAAGGGTAGTTATCAAAGACTGGAGGGTGAGAGAAATGGGGAGACCGTGGTCAAAGGGTACAGACTTCCAACCAGAAGATGAAGATGTTCTGGGGATCTATGCACAGCATTGTAATGACAGCTAACAATAATACCATACACTTGAAAGTTGTTAAAAGAGAAGATCTTAAATGCTCTCACCACAAAAAGTAAAGGCAATTATGTGACAGGGCAGAGGTATTAGTTAATGCTATAGTGGTAATTATTTTGCAATATATAAGTCTATCAAATCAACACACTACAAACCTTAATAAACTTATACAATGTTTTATGTCAATTATATCTCAAAAAAGCTAAAAAAAAATCCTTTTTTCAAGAAAGAAAAAAGAAAGGAAAGGAAAGGTAAAAATAGGAAGGGAGGGAGGGGGGAGGGAGGAAGGGAAACAGAAAACAAGGGTTCTTGGGAGAAATGGTTGATGGGGGCAGCAGAGTGGGCTAGTGCAGGGTACAGGAGCCAACATGAAAGTGTTCTCAATAGCTAAAACTGGAATAATTTGAGTAGTATTAGATTATAATCCAAAGAATGAAATAAATGCCTCTGAATCCATACTGATGTACATGAATAAAGGAATAAATAAATGGGGAAGGAACAACAGCTCTTGCTTACAGAAAAATTCCACTTAACAGGAATGAAGAAATATAAAAATTCCATTAGAATACTAGAGTAATAATTGCTACAGGCAAGATCCAGTGATGGATGCTAAAATAAGTGATCAAAGTTTAAGCAGAAACAGGATGTTTACATAGTCTACCAGTTTCTCCCTCAAATATCTAGTATTTACAAAGGAAAAACAGTAACTGTACCGTGGAGAATCTTGGTAGACACCACTGTAGTCAAGTGATCAAGGTTAACATCACCAGTAATGCATATCAACTTAATGTGCTCCCTAATGAGATGCACTGAAAATGCATAACCTCAATATACTCCTGAGACATAAGGGAAAACTAAATAAAAACTTTCTCCAAAACAACTAATCATTTCTCTTCAAAGTGTCGATACCATAAAAAACAAGAGAGCCACAGATTGGAGGAAATAAAGTAGACATGACAACTAAAACACAAGGTAGAATCGTGGTGGGGTCTTGGAATGGATCTGGAGCAAAAAAAGTTCAATTGTGGAAAAATCAGGTGAAATCCAATACAAATCAGTCTATATTTTAGTTATAATTTTATATGAAGGATAATTTCTTAGTTTTGGTAAATGTGTTATGGTAAGATGTAAACATAAAGGATTCTTTGGTAAAGGACATATTGGTAACCTCTAAGATATTCTCCAATGATCTCTGATTCCTGGTATTCACGCCCTTGTGTGACCCCTAAGTCTTGAGGAAATAGTGATTCATTTCTACTGAAGAGAAAGTGGCAGAAGTGGTGAGAGAGAGAGCACGAGAGGGCGGAGGGTCAGAGGAAGAAGCAGACTCCCTGCTGAGCGGGGAGCCCAAAGCAGGGCTCGATCCTGAGACTCTGGGATCGTGACCCAAGCCGAAGGCAGATGCTTAACCGACTGAGTCACCCAGGCACTCCGTGAATTACTATGGACTCTGGAGTCAAACAAACCTAGATTCAAATGCCACCTCTTTTTTTTATTTTTTTATTTTTTAAAGATTTTATTTATTTGACAGAGAGAGACACAGCGAGAGAAACAAGCAGGGGAAATGGGAGAGGGAGAAGCAGGCTTCCCGCTGGGCAGGGAACCCGATGTGGGGCTCGATCCCAGGACCCTGAGATCATGACCTGAGCCGAAGGCAGATGCTTAACCTTAACAACTGAGCCACCCAGGCGCCCCTCAAATGCCACCTCTTATCACTTAATAATAGCCATGTGATGTTGGGCAAAACATCTAATTTCTCTAAGTATTAGGATTTTAAAATCCTGATGATTATACTAAGTATAAAATGGTATCTGCATCTACTGTAACAGATGGCATTTAGTACATTCTAGACAAATGGCATTATTAGTTCATATTTATAGTCATCTATTATTTTCTTCTCATTCAAGGAATTCAACTCTAATTCAGTATTATAATACTGAAAGCAGAGACTGACCCTATGTTTTAGGCCCAATCCAATTCTCAATCACTCAGTTTTAGAGCTATAAGGGACCTTGCAGCTTTTCAAGCCTTTCCTCCCACCATCATCCACATAGGAGTACCAAAGATATTAAATGACTTGTCCAGGAGGATAGCTGACTGAGGAGCTGAAAGCAGGGCTCAAGATTCAGGGAGACACTACCATGCAGTGAATGAGCTCTTGCTTTAAACAGATTGCACGAGAACGCCCATTCTCTTGCTTACAAACAGCATTATGTGTGGGGGCACCTGGGTGGCTTGGTTGAGCATTTGACTCTTGGTTTCAGCTCAGGACATGATCTCAGGGTTGTGAGATTGAGCCCGTCAGGCTCTGCGTTCAGCAGGAAGCCTGCTTGAGATTCTCTCTCCCTCTCCCTCTGCCCCCCACACCCTCAATAAAAGAAATAAATCTTAAAAAAAAAAAAACAAAAACAAAAGCAAAAGAGCATTATGTGAGACGATGCTGTCTGCTGACAAAACAGCAGTATCAGCGTCTCGGTTTCCCAGAGGGTAAATAAGGATATCACGACATGGCTCCTAGGGTTATCATAAGCCTTAAATGAGATAACGTATGTAAGCCCCTCACTGCCATAACTACCACGTGTGGATGCTGAATAAACATTTTTTTCCCTTCCTTCTTTCCAAGCCCAGGGCTCTTCGCTACCATATGCTACCTTCTCAACTATAAGGTGGTACGTGAAACACACGGTAATTCTGTTTTAGCTGTATTTTAAAGGATTCAAAATATAAAACTGAATTAATGATAGTCTTAAAATTAGGCTGAATAGTATAAACCTAATGCATTTAGTCCTCACCTGGGTTTCCTTTCCTATAATACACTGCAAAATGGGGCACCGCAGCAGAGAGCACATTATACTGACGTGCATTACCAGGGAGGTTAGCCTTGATAACCTGGCTAAAGTCATGTCTGTCAGGATTCTCTGCTGGAAAGTTACCTTTTTTTCATTGTAAATACTAAATATTTGAGAAGAATCATGAAATGGAAACTAAGAGAGAAGGGAGAGAGAGAGAATATGACCAAACAAGAGAGTGAGCACGTGCACACAACCCAAATCCTGGTCTTCAGTGTATTTCTAATACAATAAACAATTAGTAAATTGCACCATGGGATGATCAAAGACTCTTCCCAAAGTAATTCGATGTTTTGAAATACTCGGTGCCAAGTCTTGTCAAAAGCCCTCTGAAATTATAAATACATTACTTTCAGATGTTCTCTCTTAGGCATTTATGCCTTGAAAGACTTCTAGAAGACTAGTCAGATACAACCTCCCCGAAGAGAAATCGTACTGCCTTTCCCCCAAGACCTCACATTTGCTTAAGTATTTAAAACCTTTTATCACAAATTCCATCAGCTTGCTTGTCATCACATTGAGACTCACCGATCTGCAGATACCGGAGTCCCTTCTGGACTGGAATAGCCTTCCAAATCTGAAATGTTCACTTGTGTTTGCCTTGAGGTTACTATCTGGCTATTCTGAAAAAGTATGGTTTTCAAGTCCTGAGAAATAGTATTACTATCTGGAAGAGGAGACTGTACAACTTGGAAGTCCGATGAAGATTTAGGTCCTAGAAAACCTAAAGATTCTTGATTCTGTGCTACAGGTTTACCGGTCAATAACTGGGAGGTTGGTTCCAATGATCTTGAAGATATAGTTTGTAGGTCAGAGTTAAACTCACTATTCATCCTTGTTTTAGAAGCAGGATCCAATGAGTGAAATCTTTCATCTAAGGTTCCACTATCCAACTTGGAAGGAGTCTTGGGATAAAGAGTTATACGAACACAAGAAAGTGCTTTTCTATTTGAGGGTGGAGTAGATGCAGATGTTACTAATGTACACTGATTTGGGGCTGAGTGGGAGACCATGTTATCGAACTTGGCTTCAACATTTATCATATTGGAAATGTATGATTTAAACTTATGTTGGTTATTCTTTTCTACTATATAATCCTGACCTGGAGGAAGAGGGGAATGGTATTTTCCCATGTGATCTACATCTGGGGCTTTGCTTTGTTCAAAGAGCTGACGTTGTTCAAGAAAAATGGAAGAAGGAAGGTCTGAAGCTATATAATCCTGACCTTGAGGAAAGGGAGAGTGGTTTTCTCTCATCTGATGATCTAAATGTGGGGCTTTGCTTTGTTCAAAGAGTTCTCGTTTTTCAAGAAAAATGCGACAAGGAAGGTTTGGAGCTACGTAATCCTGATGTTGAGGAGGGGAAGAATGGTATTTTCTCACATGGTGATCTGCATGTGAGGCTTTGCTTGGTTCAAAGAGCTCTCGTTGTTTAAGAATAATGTGCGAAGCAAGATCTGGAGTTATAGTTACATTCTTCTCTTTTACTCCTACTGTGGAACTTGGTCTGCTCATGTTAATGAAGGTATGGTTATCAGAAAAATGAACTTCCTTGGCATTGCTACACTTTGCACTGGTACTGGGCTCAGAATCACTGCCTTTAAAATCTGATCTTTCTAAGAGTTTTTCTTCTTGCTGAGAATGTTCAACAGATAATTTTTGGCTTTGCCTACTACTTTCTGCTAAAATAGTCACAGCTTTATCTGGTGAATGACTAACAATTTTAAATGATGAAGGGGAAGAGGTTCTCTGTTCTAGATCTCTGGGAGGATTTTGCTCTTCAGTGAAATGAGAATTAAATACCCCCACAGATGCTCCAGTACACTGGCTACCTTCAGTAACACCAACCTTAAGAACAGAGGAATCTGAAAAGCATTTAGAATGTCGGTGAGATGAAAAAGTGATGGAAGTAGTAAACTTTTTCATGGGTTCTGGGGGCAGCATTTGTGATGAAGAATGACAATCCATTTCTTCATTTGGCAGACAAGCAGGTTCTACTAATTCTGACAGCCAAGGGTCTATCTTTTCATGGAATGGCATTCGAAGACCCTGGCTAATTCTGAAGTCATCAGTTGTAAAGTTTTGAAATGGGGAATGACTTCGTAACTGCAAGGAATTCCAAACTTTGAAATGGGGGTTACTCTGGTCTAGTGATTTGGAAAGGTTGATGTGTCTGGTTCTCCATGATGATGGACTCCGTTGTCCTCTGATCATTTCTGAGGGGTCAGCAGATCTGAAAACACAAGGGTGACTATCCAATTGTGGTTGTTCAGCAGTTAGGGTCCTGAAACATCCTTTTTCATGGCTCTCAATAATAATGTGACTACATACAGCTTCTGGCTTGTATCCTATTCCCCGTGGACTCTGTAAACCCTAGAAGACATAAACAAGTTCTTACTTGTAGTCCAAATAATTATATAAAAACCAGTTTTATAATCCAGGCTAAGAATTGACCACAAAGGTCCTGTTGATCTTTTACAATAAAACAGATAAGAACATAACAAAAAGGACAGGTAATTATAGGATAAAATGGGTCATGATAACTAAGACCACACAGTTAATTTCTTCTAAAAATGTTTCACTAAACAAACAAAAGTAAAGACTACTTTGGTCCCCCAGTATTCTCACTTTTTTTCTTTTAGTAACAGAGGTCCCTTACTCTAACCTTTGCTGGTCACATGGCCACAAAGCTGGAGACCTTTCTAGGTTCCTTTGTACCTAGGTGTGACCATATGACTAGGTTTAGGCCAATGGGTTATGAGCAAAAGCAGTAAGTATAAGTTCTGCTTCATGTCCTTAGAAAATCAAATTCTTGGCCTCCATGTTCCCCTACTACCACCATCACTACCATCACCATTATCTTGCCAGCTGAAAATGGTAATATCTAGAACAATCTCAGAAGCCATGTGTAATAATGGCTTAGCTGCCAAGCCTGCTTGGGTCTTTGGATAACTTCAAGGCAAAGAGCTCCCTTTCCTGCCTTAGACTACAATAAAAAAGAAAAAGAAAATTCTACCATATTTGAGCCATTGTATTTTGGGGTCTCTTTGTTATAGAAGCTTGGCCTATATCCTAATATTTTACCAATAATTGTGATGAAGAATGACAGAAAGGAATATTCCAAAGAATAGGAAAAAGAATGAGTACTTCTTCCTGGGGTAATGGATCAGAACCTAAAGCTACCATAAATATAAAACTTTTCTGAGATTTCTGTTTTACCTATTTGATGATAACAGCCACATTTGATTTCAAATAAAAATACCTAAAATTATGCTATCACTTCTGATAGTAGTTGTGTAGGAGTAGTTGTACTTTCTCCTATCTGTCTGATAAGTATAACTAAAAGTCCTAGACATTATAAATAAAACAAACATAAGAATTATCTGAAAGATCTAGAGAAGGCAGGCTGGCTAGGGATTTTGGGACCTGAGGAATGATATGGTAGTGAAATCCCTGGGTTTTCTTTTTACCTCATATATTCCAGATTTGGGAGCTAAAGAAGCCAGCAACACAGGAAAAAGGGCATAGACAAAGGCTCTAATAAAAACCCACTCTCATTAGCTAAAAAAAAAAAAAAAAAACCCAGTAAAAGTGAAGTCTAGCAAGACAGAAAACTTTTAGACCATAACTGCTCTATTCCAGCCAAACACCACAGGAAAAAAAAAAAAACTGCTTTTCTCATATCAGCAAAGGCTAAATGAGGAGCCTAAACCTCTATCCTTGCTAAATGATTACAAGACACCCCAACATCCAAGCCAAAGTATTAGAGATGGCCAAGTAGGGGCCCAGGACGTATTTTTGCCCTTGATGGCTGGTAAGGAGCTACCCCTTGCTGTGGTATCAGTGGAGACCACAGAGGGAAACTGGACTTTTCCATTCAGCAGCAATGACGGGCCCCCCTCTCCCCCAGCTATAGGCTGGAAGAAAATTTTGTAAACCTCATATCCAATAAAAGACTTGTATCTAACATATATAAAGATATCCCAAACCTTAAGAGCTTAAAAAAAAAAAAAAGACAACCCAATTAGAAAAATGGGCAAAAAACCCAACATTTCACTGACTAGAATAGAGATGGGACATAGGGGCATAATAACATGTTCAACACGATTAACATTAAGGAAATGAAAATTAAAACTACAACGATTGCTTCTGTACAAGAAAGGAAACAGTAGACAAAACCAAAAGACAACTGACAGAATAGAAGATATTTGCAAATGACATATCAGATAAAGGGCTAGTATCCAAAATCTATAAAGAACTTATCATGGGGCACCTGGGTGGCTCAGTCATTAAGCATCTGCCTTCGGCTCAGGTCATGATCCCAGGACCCTGGGATCAAGCCCCACATTGGGCTCCCTGCTCCGCGGGAAGCCTGCTTCTCGCTCTCCCACTCCCCCTGCTTGTGTTCCTTCTCTCGCTGTGTCTCCCTCTGCCAAATAAATAAATAAAATCTTTACCAAAAAAAAAAAAAAGAACTTATCAAACTCAACACCTAAAGAACAAATAATCCAGTCAATACATGGGCAGAAGACATGAACAGACATTTTTCCAAAGAAGACATACAAATGGCCAACAGATGCATGAAAAAGTGCTCAACATCACTCAGCATCAGGGAAATACAAATCAAAACCACAATGAGATACCACTTCACACCAGTCAGAATGGCTAAAATTAACCACTCAGGAAATGACAGATGTTGGCAAGGATGCGGAGAAAGGGGAACACTCCTACACAGTTGGTGGGAATGCAAGCTGGTGGAGTCACTCTGGAAAACAGTATGGAGGTTCCTCAGAAAGTTGAAAAGAGAGCTACGCTACAACCCAGCAATTGCACTACTAGGGATTTACCCCAAAGAAACAAATGTATTGATCTGAAGGGGCATCTGCACCCCAATGTTTATAGCAGCAATGTCCACAATAGCCAAACTATGGAAAGAGTCCAGATGTCCATCGACAAATGAATGGATAAAGATGTGGCGCGCGCGCGCACACACACACCCAAATATTACTCAGCCATCAAAAAAATGAAATCTTGCCATTTGCAACAACATGGTAGAACTAGAGGGTATTATGCTAAGCGAAATAAGTCAGTAACAGAAAGACAATTATCATATGATCTCACTCATATGTGGAATTTAAGAAACAAAACAGAGTATCATAGAGAAAGAGAGGAAAAAATAAAACAAGATGAAACCAGAGATGCAGACAAACTGTAAGAGACTCTTAATCATAGGAAACAAACTGAGGGTTGCTGGAGAGGGGTAGGGATGGAGGGATGGGGTAACTGGCTGATGGACATTAAGGAGGGCACAGGATGTAATGAGCACTGGATATTATATAAGACTGATCAATCACTGACCTCTACCTCTGAAATCAGTAATACATTATATGTTAATTGAATTTAAATGTAAAATAAAAATAAATTTTAAAGAAAACTATAATGATTCTTCTGCATCTACTGAGATGATCATATGGTTTTTATCCTTTTGCATGTTAATGTGATGTATCACATTGATTTATTTGCAAATAAATTTATTTGCATCCCAGGAATAAATCCCACTTGATCGTGGTGAATGATTTTTTTAATGTATTATTAGATTGAGTTTGTTAATATTTTGTTGAAGATTTCTGCATCTGTGCTCATTAGATATACTGGCCTACAGTATTCTTTTTTTCTGTAATGTCTTTTTTTTTCTTTTTTAAAGATTTTATTTATTTATTTGACAGGGAGAGACACAGGAAAGAGGGAACATAAGCAGGGGGAGTGGGAGAGGGAGAAACAGGCCTCCCGCCGAGCAGGGAGCCTGATGTGGGACTCAATCCCAGGACTCTAGGATCACGACTTGAGCCGAAGGCAGATGGCCAATGACTGAGCCACGCAGGTGCCCCTTTTTCTGTAATGTCTTTAAACGATTTTGGTATCAGGGTAATGCTGGCATTGTAGAAGGAATCTGGAAGTTTCCTTCCTCTTCTATTTTTTGGACTAGTTCGAGAATAGGTATTAACTCTTCTTTAAATGCTTGGTAGAATTTACCTGTGAAGCCACCAGGTCCTGGACTTTTGTTTGTTGGGAGTTTATTACTGATTCAATTTCATTGCTAATAATTGGTCTGTTCAAATTTTCTGTTTTTTCCTAATTCAGTTTTGGAAGGTGATATGTTTCAAAGGAATTTATCCATTTCTTCTTGGTTGCCCAATTTTTTGTCATATAGTTTTAATAATATTCTTATAATCCTTTGTATTTCTGTGGTATTAGTTGGTATTTCTCCTCCATTTCTGATTTTATTTATTTGAATCCTCTTTTTTTTTGATAAGTCTTACTAAAGGTTTATCAATTTTGTTAATCTTTTCAAAGAACTAGCTCCTGGTTTCATTGATCAGGTCTATTGTTTTTTTTTTTTTTTTTTTTAGTCTCTATTTCATTTACGTCTGCTCTAATTGCTATTATTTCCTTCATTCCACTGGCTCTGGACATTGTTCTTTTTCTAGATCCTTTAGGTGTAAGGTTAGGTTCTTTGAGATTTTTTTTGCTTCCTGAAGTAGGCCTGTATTGCTGTAATCTTCCCTCTGAGAACTGTTTTCACTGTATCCCAAAGATTCTGAGTCATTGTGTTTTCATTTTCATTTGTCTCCCTGTATTCTCTGATTTCTTCTTTGATTTCCCATTCATTGTCTGTAGCATCACATTATTAAGAGAAAGAATAAAACCAGTAAGATCGTCTCAATAAATGCACAAAAAGCATTTGACAAAGTACAACATCCATTCATGATAAAAACTCTCAACAAAGTAGATTTAGAGAGAACATACCTCAACATAATAAAAGCCGTATATGAAAATCTCACAGCTAACATCATACTCAGTGGTGAAAAACTGAGAGCTTTTCCCCTCAGGAACAAGGTAAGGATATCCACTCTCACCAGTTTAATTCAGCATAGTACTGAAAGTCCAAGCCACAGCAATAAGACAAGGAAAAGAAATAAAAGGCATCCAGTTGATAAGGAAAAAGTAAAACTTTCACTATTTGTAGATGACATAATACTATATATAGAAAATCCTAATTACTCCACCAAAAAACTACTAGAACTGACAAATGAATTCAGTAAAGTAGAAGGACACAAACACAAAATTAATATACAGAAATCTGTTGCATTTCTATATGCTAATAATGAAGTAGCAGAAAGAGATATTAAGAAAATAATCCTATTTACAACTACACCAATAATAATAAAGTCCTAAGACTACAATTAACCAAGGAGGTTTAAAACCTGAACTCCAAAAGCTGTAAAAACACTGAAAGAAACTGAAGATGACACAAACAAATGAAAAGATATTCCATGTTCATGGATTTGAAGAACCAATATTGTTAAATGATA